ACTCAAAATATTTTGGGTTTTTTTCATTCAATGCATTTATTTTTTATAATTTTTGCCTACTTGACATTCTTGCCCCTTTTCCTAATTCTGATCAAAACCAGTAGTGCTGAAGGATGGTAAAGAGAAACAGAAGAGATAATCCCCTAAAAAAAAAAAAGATCCAATCAGAAAGTCAGAAAACAAAATCAACAAGGAGAGCTTTGAGTGTTCTGTTTTGCTCGGAAAATTGTCGATTCCTTTTGCCTCAAGTGCTGGACCTGATTCTTCTCCGGCAGAGTGCAGCCAAGAATTACAAAGCGAGTCAACAGACAGTGGAACTGAGTTCATCTGAAAAGTAGCCAGAAAAAGCTTGGTCTGTGTTCGAGATGTCCATTTTTAGAAGGAAATTTACTTAGGCAGAGGAATACCAGCATATTCAGGATGAGTGGCTCTGTGTGTGTGTGTTTTTTGGATCTTAGCACAAGGAAGGGATGTCTTGCCACCCCCAGGGGTCGGGAATAGTGCATGCATGGGGAGGACCTATTATATTATTTTTCTTCCACCTTAATGAACTCCTCTCATGTCCACCTCTGATCAGTGGAGTATGACAGAGGGTGATTGAAGGCCAGTCTCCCAGGAAATGAAGTTTGTTCACACAGCCCAAGTATGCTGGCCCTACTGCTGCCTGCCTCTGATTTATAGGACTAAAAATTCCTTCCTCCGGTAACAATAACGCTCTTAAACTCCAGACCCCTCTCCCTCACAGAACCTCCAGACAGGGCAGCCTGAGCCCAGGAAAGATGGGAGGCACCCAGCAAATATATCCATCAACACAACTCATGTTTCAAAGGAATATGAGACCCCACAGGGTTAGGCTCACAAAGGCAGGGAGCGGAGGAGTGCGGCCACCACCCTGCAGCATCTCCTCCTGGGAAGGGGCAGAAACAGGAATGACTATGGCACGGACAGGGGCAGGAGCCACAGCATCTCCAATGAGCCAGACAGCTCAAGCCCAGGGTAGTGCTTTCAGGGGAAATTTGGGCCCTCTGGCTGTTGCTTTATTCTGGGGCTGGGAACAAGACTGTTCTGAGGTGTCCTAACGTCAGAACTTTCTTCCTGCAATGTCTCTGTTGGGATGCTTCATCTCTCTTTCATGTCGTAGTAGGTTTTGAGAGAAGATTTCCTGTGAGTTCCGTGTGTTTTGTAACTCTTAAAGACAGGAGCAGATGGCTGTGACTGCTGGTTCTGCAGCACCATGGCTCCCCTGTGGCACTGGGCTCCTGCTGAGTGAGGGCATCACAGGGAAGGGCCACACTACATCTAAGGAAGCACCCTCTCTCATTAGAGCATGATGGGGCTCAGCAGTGTGGCATGCACAGTGTCAAGGAAGCACGGCATGCTGGATGGGGCTGGAGGTTTTGTCCATACTGTCTAGTGGGGCTGGTTGGTGGCACATGCCTGGCCATGCACTGCCTGAGAGACAGAACCATCTCCCAGCCAGAGAGCCTTTGGGTAATTAAAAAGTAGGAATGATCTGGGGGCACATTGTTTCCTGCTTTGTTTTGTTTAGTAACATAGACAGGAAGATACAGTGGGGCTATCAGGGCAGCCTCTAAGCAGGCAAGACCCATGCACACACACAAAAACACACACTTTTTGGAGTTAGGGTCACATGTTTGAGCTTAATGTTAGAGTTTTGTGTTGAGGAGATAAAAAGAGCTTGAGGCCTTTTGCAACAGGACAGTTGTGGCTGCCAAACTGCAAGGCAAGTCCTGGAAAGAAACAAGTTCATTCTGTAACTCTTTTTCTTATCATTTACTTATTAACAGCTCTCTCTGGCTCTCACCTGAAGCTGCTGACCTGTTCCTCCTAGACAGAGTAATTAACAGGGAGACAATGATCTGCAGAGGGCAAGGAGCAGCCTGTGCTGGGGAGGGGGAGGAGGCAGGGAAGGGCTGTGGGAGGCCGAAGGTCATAGAGGAAAGAGCTATTTATGGCCCTAAGAGGGAGGATTCAGTAAAGGGCCATCTAGCTCGACTTGACTTCCTCTTGACCTATCACTTCTGGGAGATACTGGTGCAACTACTTGCCCGCAAGGGCTTCCAGTGTCCCCAGTGTCTGGGTACAAGGGATAGACTGGTGAAGGTGGTAGTGGACAGAGGAGAACATGGTGGACCATGTGTCAGCTCCATTAAAATCGTGAGGTGGTATTTAAAGTGTGAAGGAAGAGGTCTTGCAATGTCCTGTAGTCTTCTTCACTGCTAGCCCCTGTAACTGCTTCTGGAAACAGAGACGGGAAAGCTCTTTGCTCTGCATGTTGGAAGGGCTCCATTTCCCCTCCCAGTCTTTGCTGTGGTTATTTCGACAGAAAGTCCGTGGGACAGTAACTCTCTGTTCATGCCCGTAGCTAGCACAGAGGGCTCTGATCTCTATCTCACAGTCTCTCTGCTAAACACGGTGCAAGTAACTGCTTGACAAACAGAGAGAGCAACTCTGGCTCATACACGTGTATCTGACCTCCACATCTGGGCCAGTCCCTTGACGTCCTGCTACAAACACTGTTTTGAAACATACCCCTTATAAATTATGACCCTTTGCATATTTGTGTCACTCAGGCCACCTTCTCTTCTTTGCTGGAATGTGCTGAGACTGGTCACAACTGCTGGGGGGATTCCCAGGCGACACCTCGGCAAGAAATTAGCTCTGTGGTGCAACCGAGTGACAAGATACAAGAAGAACCCTTCTAAATAACTCCCTCCAGAGAGAAGGGTTGAAGGCGTGATATTATGTTAGATAACCATGTTAAATTGCATCTAAAAAGGAAGTTGGTAATTCCTAATATATTTTTGATGAAACATGACTTTTTTTAAAATGAAGAGCATTTTTATGGAACAATCCTATGAGATGCCAAATGTTTTGGCCCTGATCTAGCTAGATATTTAACCACACACTTCATTTCTTAAGCTGCTCATGTGCCTAAATATTTTGTTGGCTCAAGTCCAGAGCTCTCAGCATTCTGTGTGGTGTCAAAGGACCAGGTCTGCATTTGCAGCAGCATTGCTGAACTCAGGCTATAATAATTTCAATCATCACACAGAAAGTATTTTCAGTTAGTTTACTACCCAACAAAAAACTTAAATTTCCTTGGGATTTCTCTCTTAGATGTGTGTTTTCTGATTGGTGTTCTAGTAGACAGGTTTGCTAGTCAGAGTATTCGTGGAACAAGAGACTTGTAAGTAAAATTTAGTGGGAGCTAATGGAATATTATTTTGTCCTAAAAATTCCAGGATTGTCACTTAAGACATGACTTTAAAAGTGACTGAAGATCCATGGGGAAAGAAATGGAGCGTGTGACCACTCCATCCAGTCAAAGCTGACCAAGACAGTTGGAATCATTCACAGAAATTATTTAGAAAATAATTTCAAACAACAGATGGGGAGGAATTATCACCTGATGGCAGACAACCCGTGAGCAGAGACCAAGTTCTTGAGCAAAGCAGTTCTCTGCAGATGGCTGGTTCAATAGGAAAGAATAAAAAAACGAACCTGACCATTAACAAAAAGTGAAGCGAACGAGTAGGTTTCACTGGTACTACTGAAGGGAGTACAAAAACCAAGAAACAAACAGCTGTAGGTGGGAAAAGGTGAGTCTGATTTCTAATCTTGTGTGTTGTAATTATGGTGTTAAATGTGCAAGCGCAACGTGAATGGATGAGATGGCATAACTGGAAGGAATTTGTGGAAGAGAGCTGAGCAGAAACAGGCTCTGTCAAAGCCAAAAAGGATACATGCCAACGTTGTTTCTCTTGGCATAGGTCAAAAAGCAGACTGTGTGACAAGAGAGAAATTGGAGAAGACTGAGATAATGCCCAATTAGATCATGCAGTTCACCTCCCTGGGGCCTGTGACAGACTGGTAAGGAATTATTTTTTTTGCTGAGGAGGGAAAAAAGAAGATGTCAGAAATTTGAAAGTTTTTTTCTTCCCTTCTCCCAGAAACTTAACTCAAACCAAAACCTCACTGAAAAATGTCATTTCAAGCTTAATATGTTCACTCCCCTCTTGCTGTCTTATAAGAAAAAAATTCAGATACATGTTGTGAAAATGCTCAGTAAGTCCACGCTTTAATTTCCTGCTACAACAAAATTTTGAGAAGACCTAATAATGCCTTTTGTTATTGCTGAAATCCTTCTCAGTCACCTGTAATCCTGAGCCCCATTGCATCAGAGCATCCCAGGTATGTTGTTAGAGATGTTCCTGATAGTGCATAGCCAGAGCAGAGCCTGATTCACCTGTGCCTGGGTTAGCCCAAGATGGGATGAGCCATTTGCCACACAAAAACTAGTTGCTTTGTTCTTGTGGCTCCTTTCCATACATGTTATGACAGCTCCAGAGGGAGGTTGACCACCTCAATAGTAGTTTTCACATGAATTGTGAGCCTGCCTTAATTTTGAGAAGATTTTGGGGAATTATTAATGTTCTCCTGAGCCCAGAAATCATGACACTTAGGTTACCTCTAACTGAGCCCCCTGACTGGCTGTCCTAAATTTGGCAAGAGACTTCTATATGTTGGCAGTTGGAGGGATGGGAGCAGTATCTGAGCACACGCTGAATTTAATCTGTGGTGAGGCTGTACTGGGAACTGGTATCAGGACCAAGAATAAAACTGTGATTCCCTAAGCCCTGTATTGTACCACAATATCTGCTCAGGCTCTTCTGGCACTCCTGTAGCCTTTTTCCTCATTACAATCTTCTATAGCTTTAAATAGTGAATATTCCCAGTGAGTTTCACTGCCAGGAATTTTCTCACTTGATATTATTCTGCTTCATTTTTATCTCCTTATCTTTGCAGAGAAGTCCCTGCTCTTATCCTACCATCCTACCTAACTCTGGTTTTGTTATTATCTTCCATCTAAACATACCATGTTTATCTCCACCTGTAGCAATGCTTTTAACACTCCTGGGACTGAAGTTCTGCACTGTGATGTGCTGGTGGGGATATAAATCCAGCTTACCAGACAGTAACAATCAGAATTATAATTTACTTTGGAAAACGTGACTATGAAGTATTTTCTTAGCATTACCATACTTCCTTATTGCCATGTGTAATAGGCTGAGTTAAAGACACCTGCTTGAGAGAGTGACTGGCTTGTACGTAAGTGGATCTTCCCTCAGAAGAGGAGTGGTCCTTCTCTTCATTACACTCCATCGATGGGCTAATGAGTACTGGTACCAGTAGCAGTACCTACAATCAGACTGGTGGATTTAACCTGAGCTGGTCAGACTTCAGATAGCACATGCAGCTGGAGGGAAAACACCGGGGTTTGTGACTGCATCGCCCAACAGAAGGAAGCAGAAGAGAGAGGAGCAAAATCACGGCATCATTACACGTTTGTTAGGAGGTGGTTGCAGTTGACTGATCTCTGGCTCATCCATCCAGCTAAGTACTGAGAAGAACTCCCAGGTGTGGGAACAGCCACCCTCTGGATAGAGATCTCAGTCCCTCCTGCATGTGTGGTACCAGAGGGGTGGATGGCAGAGGGGGCTGCTCTGACATTTCCTCTCCTCCCTCTCTGAGGAGGAACCTTGTCCTTGTGAGGCTGCCAATAGCCAGCTCAGCCCTGTGTGACCAACTACAACTGCTGCTCCTGTGTCCTTTCCCCCCAGGTGCTGCGTTCATTAGCTGTGAGGCCTTAGTTTTATGGGAACCCTCCCACCCACCCTTCCTCCTGGCTTAATGACAGGCCCATTAAAGAGAAGCCAATAAAGCCACGGTGGAAGAACAGCGCGAGGGACGGTTTCCTGCCCATCTTCTTCATGCGTGAGCCAGGTCTGAGGGCAGGAGGAGACAAAGATACTCCTAAGTTACGTAGAGGTGACCCCTGAGAGCGGGCAGAGGCCACAGCTTGCAGGCCAGCTTTCACACTCCACTTTGGGGCTCTCTTGCGTAAACTTTTCCCAGTGTGGGGTTGAGGGTTTTTTTGTGTTGTTTTTTTTTTTTCATCTCTGAGGAGGGAGGAACAAGGTCTTTTAATGAGGGGAGGATTAACAGGCCATAAGACTCTGCCCTGAAAGAGCCAGTCTGTCTGTGGGGCCGCTCAGCAGGACACAGGGTAATTGGATTGGATCCCGAAGAGCACCTTGAATCAGTTCTGAGGAGGCCGCAGCGGGTTGCTCCGAAGGGGGCTGGGGGCCAGGGAGGAGGGGAGCGTGTGTCTCTTTAGAGAAGCCAGAGCCAAGATGGGGGATCAGCCAGCTCATTAAGGGATTAGAGTGTTTGTTCTTCTCAAGACTTTTGTTGCTAAAACACTTTGCGCAGCATTTTCTGGAGCCTGGGGAGCTTAAAGAGCTTGTCAGAGCCCTGCTCCTGTCCCCATACAAGAGCAGAGACACTCTTTCCTCTGGCCTTCCTGCCAGTGCCTACGGCAGCTATTGCTAGTGACAGCTCCACTCTCTCAGCCCTTCTCATCTCTGGTCAGAGTGCTTCTGTCTCCTGTGGGTTTTGAGGTAAATGGGAAGGATAATAAGGAGTATGAAGCAAAAGAAGCACATCAGGAGGGAGTCCTTTGACAGTGAGGGACACTAACTTGAGCTTTTTCCTTAGTATTTGTTACATGGACAATGAAGGACTTAGCATGTTCTGTGGTGCTCTTTGCAACCTTTTACCTTCCCATGGGCCGTGTTCTTGGTCTCCAGCACTTAAGGTAGCAAGTTTGAGGCACAAGCTAATTTGTGTATCTGCCCTTCATATGAACGCTGTGGCTAGAAATTATTGAAAGACTAATGTACCTAACAGCATCACCTGAAATGGGCTGGCTGTTGAGATGCAATGCTATAAGAGGCTGGACAGGGAAGGAATGGTGCAGTGAGACCTTGCCTGAGAGCACAGCTGGCCAGGAAGCTTGGTTCTCTTCTGGACCAGGGACAGAAAGTGAAAGCTCTAAAGTCCAAATCAAGATGCACTCAGGTAGCAGTGTGGGCTGTTAGGAGAAGATGTCAAAGCAATATGTGGATAAAGCTCAGTTGTCATCAGTTCATCCATTCTCATGGCCCACACAGAGATTTCTCATCCAACTATCCTTCACCTGAGCTGTCCTGAGGCATGTGGCTCTGGGCATGAATAAACCCTGTCCTGGTTGGCCAGAGGTAAAAATCCCAATTCACTGGCAGGACAAATGCCAGGGTTGGTGTTGGAGGGACTATGCATTTCTGGGGATTCTTCAGAGTTTTAGCTTTGGGGTGAATTTGGCCTCCACTTTCAGAGAAATCTGGGGGCTGGGCAAGTGGGGTTAAATCTGTTGTGTGGAACAGCAAATGGAAGGGAGTTCAACAGGACCTCTTCAGCTCCCAGTCTAAGTTGCAATCCCACCTTCTGTCTCTGCTGAGCATGAATTTCATCTAGGGAAGGAGGGGGTGGAAGAAGGAGACAGACAGGCAGGCAGGGGAGGGATGTGGGGGGGAAGAGAGTTACAGGGAAAATAAATGAGACTCCCCTATAATTAATTGTTTGAAGGGAGTGCCCCACTCAGCTGTGAATTCTGAAATGATTATTGGATTTGCAGGCAGACGGGGAACAGAACGGGTCGGGTGCGCGATTAATATCTTATTGATAGCGGATTAAGAGAGCGAGATCAAATCTTTAACTGAGTGGAGATGCAGTTTATCAATTTGTCACAAAAAATGTAGCAATCAGAAGCAGAGAACATCAGGGTGGCTTATGGATCGATTCGTGTCAGTGCCTCACAGTGCAGCTCCACAAGGAAACCAGCTTCCCCCCAGGTGCCCAAGAGCTGGAGGAGATCGTCTTGGTGCTGGCCATGCTGAGAAGGGTGGGCCCAAAGACAGGCAGGCCTCCAGGTGCAGGGGTGCCACCAGGAGAGCTGCAGGCAGGTAATGTCATGCTCCATGGATGCTACACAGCAGAAGGAGGTATGGGGTGCAAGAAAAGCAGTGGTGCCTGGGGAGCACTAGCTTCCTGAAAGTGGGACAGTGGGATATCTGAAGGCTCAGCCCTTAGTATGACAGTAGATGGGCTTGCAACCAGCCAGAGCTCACCAGGCTTCAGGGTAATGTGTGGAACCTGCTAAATAAACTTTTCAAACTGCTTCAGATGTAGCTGGATGGTACTAATATTAGTATTAGCTCATGTGCTATTGGGCCATATGATGCAAAGTGGTGGGTGCTGCCTGGCTTACTGGCTGTGGGCTTCCCACTCCTGTTGGAGAACTTATGCATTTCTAACATTGAGATGTTAGTACTTCTAAATTCTGTTCACAGCTCTGCTGTCTCAATTCTACTGATGAGTGCTTTCCTCTAAGCAACCTGGCATTGATGTGTGTTCTGTGTTTTAGTAGTCTAGTTTGTTGACCAGCTCCTCAGCCTTGATCTGCCAGTATTCATGGTTTATGCAGGGAAGGTATCTGCAGCTATTGAAAGCATCTCCATAGCTGGGCAAAAAGGTAGGAACTCCGCCAAAAATACCTAGCTTAGGAAAGTCTTTTCTGCATCTTGAGGTAGTTCTGTGATATGAAACACCTTCTTCCAGCTCTAAAGAGTATACTGGTTACTTGGGGTCTTCTCAAAAAGCCTGATCTCTTAGTTGAAAATCTAGGATTCTCAATTAGAAAATAAAAATCACTTCTAGTCCACACAGCCTTAAGCTTTTCAAAAATAACCCCTAAAGGCTAAAAGCAGAAGGCAAAGGAAGAAGAGCTCAGAGTTAGATGGGTGGTGCTATTTGTTTTTTATTAAATCAAACTTTTGATTTGCAGTCCTCCCTTTTAGATTTTTGTTGTGAATGTTTGCTTTTAGCAAACAGGGAAAACAAACCCAAGGCAAATGTTTAATGAGTACCTCTTTCAGAGCAGGCACTGTAAGCAGCTGTGATGTCTCTGCAGCAGAGCCTGGCACCAGACTTCAGTCACCAGTTGGACTCCAGCATTTTTTATTTTTTATTGCTAACGTAAAACTTCCTGCTATTCCAACAGATGGGGGATGGCCTGTAGAAGCCAGCAGCCTCCTTGGTGGGCTGTGGAGTCGACAGGAGTCTCTGATAGCAATTTCCCTTCTCTTAAGGCCTTGCTAGAGCTGTTTCAGTCCCTTGGGCCTTTGCAAAAGATGCTGTGCACCTGGGTGAAGCACGCGATTATGGAATGGCTGTACTTAAAGGCAGCCTCTCACGCCGGCACTGCTGGCTTTGAAGGCAATTACATTCTCACCAGGGTTGTTGGGTTTTCACGTGAGGCCTCCTGGCTCTTTGCAGTCGTTCTCAGGGTCCTGGGGTGCAATACAGGCCTCTGGGGCTCAGAGGGAGTACAGGTGAGAAAGCAGCCCCAGCTGGAAGCCCTTGCCCTTGGAAGCTGAATAGAGAAGATGCAGGGGGAGGAAAATCAAAGATGAGTTGGTTAATCCATGGCCTTGTTTTACTGCCTGCTATTTACTCCCCTATATTATGCGGCTTTTTCCTTACCAGCACCAGAGCCTGTGAGGGGCTTTGACTTCTGCCAGGTTTTTGGAGTGCTTGGAGAGCCAGGGAGGGGCACCACACTGCTGTGAGGGCTGTGAGCACCACAAGGGAGGGTCTGGGAGCTGATGAATCCTTGATCTTGCTAACACATCCAGCTAAATCAAGTTGTGTGGTTTGTTCTGTGTTGGCATCAGGACAAAAGCCTGTATGTCAGCCTGGTTTAACTGGTATGTGTTGGCTGAGTGAGACCAGTGCATGCTCACTGCAAGGATGTAAGGTCTTGGGGTCTGCTAGGGTGCATATTCCAAAGTGAAGGGAAAGAGAAAGCATTACAGAGAGGTGTAGCTGTGCACTGAGATGCCCTCTTTCCAGGCCGGTTTGTGATGGAAACCATGAGGTGGAGAAAGCTGTTGGCCATCAACTTTGTGTTTGCGTGGGGAGTCAAGTGGGAACGGCTGGGGAGGAATTCATGACCCAAGCCACATGCCTTGGTCTTCATGTGTGACCTTCCCTGCCTCTTTCACTGATCCCATCACTGTTCCTGAGGTCTTATACAGCTCTCTTTACCTCTCTGTCCCTTTGCTAGGCAAGCGAAGCCTGGTACATCTCAGCTGGCTTGCTCTTTAGATGGAGAAGACAATATGGTCCTGGTGCAGCCACTTTAACCTGGGGATTCCTATACGACTCGAAGGAAATGGTGGTCTTCTCTCTTTTTATAGAACCTGCTTTTGTACATGTAATACAGTGGCCTCTGCTAAGGCTTAAATCTGATGTTGTTCAAGTCCAGGGGAAAGAGGGCTGAGCTAGGGTGGACTTTTCCCTTTGCCAGCAGTACCTTCCTAAAGCATGGCTGCTGTATTAGGACTCCTGTTGCCATGAGCTTCCCTGTGCTGAGTATCTCCAAGTGGGAGCATGTGGGGCATCACAGCCATGGATGCCTCACAATGGAACCTTGGGAAGTCTGTGGACAGCACAGTCTGTGGCACGGTTAAAAGAAAAAGAATTTGTAGCAAGAAAGGGTCTGAAGAGGAGACAGTGCTGAAGGTGGGCTGAATGTGTGGGAAGGCAAAGACAACAGATAGGGAGGGGGCGATTGAGATGACACTTCGGCTGCTCTTTCTGTCCACTATTGTATAAACATGTTGAAAGCGATAGAGAGCCTTTGTTTTCGAAAGACTCCTGAATTAATTGTGATGTACACACTGCCCTTCAACAAGCTCTGGGCCTCTTGTTCACTTCTCCCCTCAGCCTTTCATAGCATCGCCTTGACAGTCCACTCCACCTCCAGGGCCAGCACCTTCCCCGAGCCCCGCCGCTGGCACCCCTACCCAGCCCGGGCTTTGCTCCGCCACGTCGCACCCGAGGCCTTGGGGCGGACCGGGGCGCTGTGCCGCTCCCCGACGGCCCTCGTGGCTGTCATATGAGCGGTGTGGCCTTTCCTAGCACCGGGATCGGGGGGGCTAATTAGCGCATTCAGAGGCGCTGCTGGAGTGGAAAGGCGCTCGTCTGTCGGCAGGGGCCGGCAGGTGACCTGAGGCGCTGGCGCTCCCCACTCTCCCCCTCCCGGGCCACCGGCCGGGCCTCCCTTCGCCGTGCGGGGCCGTAGCGGCCGGGTCAGGTGCGCTCCGGCCGGGGCGCTGCGCTGCGCTGACGGGAGAGGGGCCCTCTGCTGCTCTCCTTTCAGTGCCGGCCGGTTCTGCTCCACAGACCCTCCCTTTGTCAGCCCTCTGAATGGAGCCCTGCCTGCCCGCGGCCCCGCTTCTAATTAGGGCTTCCGCTGCCCCGCCGCCGCTGCCCGGCCCCGGCTGCCGCTCCCCCCGCCGCTTCCAAACCGCGGGCACCACTCAGCGCTCGCTGTCCCTCGCCCTGGCCGCCGGCCGGGCCGGGAGGAAGGCGAGAGGAAGCCAGCCGGAGCGCCGGCAGCCCGGCACGTCCGGATCCCCGCTGCATGGGCCGTCCCGCCGCTGCCGCCCGGGGCGAGGCGGGCACAGCCCCACCGGCCCTGGGCAGCGCCCGCCGGCCTCGGCTGCCTCGGTCAGGGCTCCTCCAGGGAACCCCTGAGGCACCTCTCCCGGGTGCCCCGGGCTCTGGGCAGGTTAGATTTGGAGTTAGCCCATGAAACGTGGCCGAGATGTGGTTTTCTATTTTAGTAAAAACTGAATCATACCTCTCGTGCCAGGAAGTTCTTGGAAAGTCCTTGCTGGAAAACATGGTTTCACATTTGTGAGGCAAATGCAAGGAAGCCCTGTGTTGTTATGGTTTCTGTCTTTGCTTTGGACTGCATGGTGGCACTTGATGGCAATTCAGGAGTTGATGGGCAGCCAGGAGTTTCACAGTTACAGCTTCCAGACTTTCTAGACCTCAGGCGTGTTTGTACCTAAGGCAAAGATTTGCATCTTTTTCTACACAAAACACATTTTTATGTCCCACAAAGATGCATCTTCAAGAGACTTCAATGTTTATAACTAGTCTGTTATGGGCAACAGTGATTCTATGTTTATGCAGATAAACTCAGGGAAGGAAAACAGCTCCAGGAAGGATTTACAGATCCTTTCCTGACTGGATCACATCTCGTTGGCTCTTCCTTGGGATACTTGATCCAGAAGCCTCCCCTTGGCTTTTGCTTGTCACTTTTGACATTCAGACTCTTACTTCCTTCAGGGGTGACCTTTCGTTTGGATGAAATGCAGTTGTCCCCTCAGAAGCAGCAGCTCGTGCCACAGGAACAAGGAGCCCTGTTGCACCTTGTCCCTTGTGCTGTTCCTGTGCAAGGGGCCACTGAGCATCAGGGCTCTGGAGTGTGATGCCCTGCACAGACCCTGTGGTCTGCATACCCTGGCATGGGTGGGCAGAAAGGAACTTGGATATGATGGAGTTCTCACACCAGCTGCTGCCCCATCTGCTGCTGGATGGGTTTCTGGGTAACTTAGAAGAGTCTGCAAGGAAGAAACCTCTCAAGAGTGAGAGGGGATTAGGGCATGGAGAGAAGTTCCTCTTTGTGTCGCAATTCTCCCTCTCCTTTCATCTATCAGCAGCTCTTGGTAGGTGGAAGTCACAACTCAGCCATCCAGCATGAGTGCTGGGTCTGTGGCTCTGGCTGCAGGAGCCCTCTAAACATCTCCCCCCCAGCACACGGCAGCCCAAGACCACCACAGTGCCAGCAGCACTTGGTCAGAAAAGCATGGCTGCTTCCCAGGCTGCTAATACCTGGGCAGCCGAGCCCTGCTGCGGCCAGCCTGGCGCCAGCTGGGTTTGCGCCATGGCGCTGGGACCCGGCAGCCGTGAGCTGAGCAGATGCTGAGGTGTGGGCCAGGATGGGTGGTACAGTTTGGATGTTTCTACCTCATCTGATACAATCAGCACTGCTGTGCACATGTGAGGAAAGTTGTTCGATAGGAATGACCCATGATGCTGGGTTAATTCTGTTTACAAAAGAATAAATATTATAGCGGTGTCTTATAAAAGAGAATCAATAGCTTCCCTTTGCTGGGTGATCCCTTCATGTCTTCGAAAATCGATTCCCCCCCCATTCCCCTCCTCCTCGCTGCACAGCTATCTGTTTTTCGGGGTGACGGGGGGGTCAGGCGATTATTGAAGTATATGTGAATTTACAATATTAACGACTCACGACGGTGTGTCCGCAGGTTCACGGTGAATTAATTATCTGTTTAAGAAGCCATGAAGAAATCAATCAATGAAAATTTCTCACTCTTTTGAGAGTGAGGGAGCTTGTCAATTTTTTTTTTTAACATGCACCACATTTAAAGGAGCAGTACATCTTTTTTTTTTTTTTCATCAGAGGAGGGGCAGGAAGAAGCTGGTTTGGGGCTCTGGGTGGCCTGTTCAGTTTTGTGCAGCACTGGCAGACCCCTTTGCTGGTCTCCTCAGAGGGCAGAAGACACTAAGGATGCATCCCAAGGTGGTTTTGTCCTAGAGTTAAGCCTTCTCTGGGAGGAGAGGGATGGTATTATGTACTGTGTCCTAGCAGACACTGTTTTGCTGGGTAGAGAGGTCTGTCACAGACATGATCTCCTCCCAGTTCACTGGCCCAACTGCCCCTCTCCTGGAGACCTGTCTGCCATTGCTGTGCTGGCAGAGGGTGACACGTGGCTGGGCCTCAGCTGCTTCAGCCTGGGGGGACCAGGATATACTCCCATGAGACAGGGAGTAGTAAACAAAGATGAGCAACTGAAAGCAGTGATATCTCAAATCACTTCAAGGTGTGCCAGAAGAAGTTTGGAAGATTACTTCATATCTCAGCCTTCATCATTGACTGCCATGTCTAAATTTTGGGCAGGCACTGGTGACAGAACAGCCATGAGGCACAGGCTTTGCAGCAAATGGCCCAAGACTGCTTGTCTCTCCACCTGGTGCTGAAGCTACAGCCAGGGGAAGAACCCTTTGTTCATACAGACCTGATCACTAGTTGCACCACATCCCCACGGGTCTTGGAATTATCCAAGGCATTCAGGTGGACAACATCCTGTGCTGGGTGATGAGCAATATGTAGCATTAACAGTGTCTATCAGAGGTCCTTATGTCACCTTGGTGGCATTTCTCTGTTTGGGTGGAGTTTCATGGCATTTGAATACTGGATGTGAGCATTTTCCCTGCATTTCAGGCTTTGGCAAGCAAAACCACATCCCTAGTCCCCAAACAGGCAGCAAGACAGGGACTGTGCAGAGAGAAAGCTACAGTGTTTGGGTAGGGGGGAACAGAGGGAAAAGTATGGGGGTGGTAGGCAGCTGAAGATCTCGACAAAAAGACTGGAGGAGGGGAGTGAGCAAGGACAACATCTAAGTCTGCTTCTGCCCTCGCAAGCCCAGGCAGACATGGCCCCTTCCCAACCCTATAATCCTACTGGCCCATGCCTAGAGGAGTCCCCGCCAGACACACCCATCGCTGTAGCCAGAATGGAGAGAAGAGCCCATATTGACACAGGAGCATCTGTGTCAGTAATTGTCATGCAGCCTTGCAAATTGCTTCAATGTGCCATCCCCTTCAGCCGCACATCTCGGCAGTGGCGACAGGCCGGGGGGGAAGCTGTGTTGCTGCCAGAGACAGGAATAGTCCTGGACCTGCAAGGGGTCAGGACCTGCAGGGACCTGCTGGGTCCTAGCCCAGGTCCCTGTGTCTTGATATAGTCTCGCCTGATGGCCACTTGGCAGCTTCTCTGGCTGCAGGGCTCTTTTTTAATCAGCTTTATCAACCTCCGTGCAATATTCCCAATTCAGACCACAATGAGAGAGGGGGAAAAATTCTTGTCAGCCTTTAGTTTGCTGTTTACACCAACCAAAGGAAGTTTGAGAGAGGGTCACAGTGTCCATTTCTTCCAGCTCTTACTTGGCTGCTGGGAACAGGGGATCCTCACCCATTTACTTCAGATAAATACCCAGCTTTTCTTCTCTCCATATACGTAAGCTGCTTTCTGAGTCTAGACAAAGCCAAAACAGAAACAGAAAGCTAGGGTTTCCTAAAAAATTAGGTATCCAGTTTGAGGCTGCATAAACCACAGCTTTCAAGATGATGTCATAGATCGGAACCATTCAGTGCCTTTTGAAATCTCCAGGTTGACCAGAGGTGACTGTTTTAATTTCCATCTGTTCTTTTTCAATAATCTCTAGTTGTGTATTCCTGTGCTTTTTAATGGCAGTGCAGTTCCAGCAGAGAACATTGAATTTGCCTACTCAGATCTAGGCATACAATTTTGACAAAAGACTGCAGGCCGAATTGTGAAATTCTGAGATAAGCAAGGCTGCTAGAATTTGGTTTAGTGAAGGACAGCCTTTAAAAGATGCAGTTATTTGCAAAAGGTTGTGATTAAAGCCAGCCTCCTGATCCGTTGCCACTGGACACATGCTTTTTCACCTAATAGGTGTCCTGCCCCTCTTATGCCCTAGCCTCTTCAGTGATGAGAGAACCAGTCAACAATTTAAAAACCAAACCAAACAATAAAACACTCTCAAACCCAAGCATAGTAGTTCAGTTTAATACTAGTGATTTTACCAGCACTCCTTTAATGGCTATGGATTTTGTCTGTATATTGGAAAATATCTCTGAGATGAAGAGCCCCTAGTCTGTCTTCCAGAGGAGAAGGTATTATTGGTTGGAGTTGGTCTCATGGCATGATATCTAATGTAGGACTAGAAGGTCTCCTGGGCTTTCCCAATACAGTCTAGTTTGGGGTGCAGTTAGTGTTGTAATAGGGAAAGTGGGTACAGCCATCCATTGTGGAGCCTGTGGAGAGTTAAGAAGCAGAGTGCTAATGCCTTGCTTTCCCCTTTGTTTGGGTCAGCACTGGTCCAGTGCATT